CCCTTGCGCTTACTTTAGGCCTGTGTGTGGGTGTGGGGGGGGGGGGGTGCTGCTCTCAAATGAACCGTGCAGGAGTGCTGGGGGCTGGGGCACCGGGAACTACCCCCGCCCCCCGCCTGCTGGACCCCTCCGCCCGCAGCCCTGTGACCTGGACTCTGAACTGCCCCCACCCACAGCCTGGCTGCCTGCTCCGGCCCTCTACGGCCTCACCATTGACTACTCCTGCATCCTGTGGAGCTCGCAGTGCTCGGGCCGGCGTGGGGCCTGCATATACTACGACAACGACGCACTCCGCGACAGGTGAGCGCCTCGCACACACATGTGCCAAGGTGGCCAGGCCTTGGCCTGAGCAGAGTGGGCGTCGGCCCGCTGGCAGGAGGACCTGAAGGGCTGCCTCTGCAGGCCCTGCCATGGACCAGGCACAGAGGTCCCGTGACAAGTCGTTCAAGACCTCAGGGAGTCTCTGAGCCAAGAGCCAGAGGCCACGCTGAGGTCAGCCCCGCGTGCTGCCCCAGGGCCTCGGGAGGCTTAGCAGAAGGAAGTCCTGGCAGAGGAAGGGCTGGACGGGTCCGAGGGCAAGATCGTGGCTGTTGAATGATGCCAGGCCAGCCTCCTTCCACGGCCTTGGTAGAGGTCCCGGCCAGGGAGGCCCAACCTGCCTCAGCGTGCCGACCCTCGAGAGGGCTCCCCACCGTCACGGGAAACCATGGGGACAGAGGGCTTGAGGGAGCTGGGCGGGGGCCAGGTGTGGAGTGGCAGAGAAGGCAGCGACAGGGCAGACCGTGAGGGCAGAGAGAGGATGCCTTGCTCCCTGGCTCTGCTTGAAGGACAGGCCCCGCCAGGGCAGGCTGGGGCAGCAAACGGGGGACCGAGCACTGGGTCAAGGGCCGCATCCTGCTTCCTGGGAAGTCAGATCCTTCTGAGTCAAAGGAATGCGGAAAGTGACCCCCAGCTGGTGCTGACAGATCCTCCCGGGCCACTGCGTGATCGGCCTCTCTCCCTGGCAGTCCCAGCCCTGGCCCTGGCTGCGGAGCCCCTGCCCACCGCGCTGTCTGCTCTGCCCACAGGTACCTGGGCCTGCAGGTGGGCTACAAGGCGCTGGGCACGCTGCTGCTGTTCGTCATCAGCTGGAGGGTGAAGAAGAACAAGGAGTACGACGTGCAGGAGAAGGCCGCAGGCCTCATCTGACTTGGGGTGCAGCCCTGCTCCGGGCATGGACCCTGCCAGCCCCCCACCCCACATGTACATACTAACCTGATACGTCCTTCCCTCTCTGTTTTTTAAATAAGAAAGAAAGCCCCAGTCGCTATGTGCCTTCTGCCCAGTCTCTCAAGAGACCCCCATATTCCTGAGGGTTGCCTCACACCTGGGTCGGGTGGGCCGGAGTGGGGGGCCCATCTTCCCTGGTCCTGGGCCCAGGCTATCCTCAGTGCTGGGCTCTCCCACCAGGATGCCCCTAGGGCAGCCCCTGCCCCTCACCAGCCCAGGGGTAGGGGACAGGGGCTCCTAAGTGAGGAGCCAAAAAGCGGGACCTGTCAGCCTGCCCTGTTGGCCAGCTGCCCACACCCTGCAGAGCAGCAGGCCGCCCAGAGAGGAGGGAGGGCCAAGTTACCGGCAGAGCCCGACTAGGCGTGGGAAGCCTTTGCATCTGGGCTTGGCATCAGCACAGAACCGGGGGGGGGGGGGTGGCTCTCG